GATATAAGATGGATATTTTTTTCAATATTTTAAAAAATAAAATAAAGGAAATTCAAGAACTATTCATTACTACATTTATTGATAAAGCTGGTTGTAATTTTGGTTTTATATATAAAAAATTATATGCACATAATTTAACTAATGAAATCAATACAACAAACACATTTACAAAATGCACTTGGAATAAAAATACAACTATTACTAATTTAAAGAAAGCCATTAAAAAAATGGAATATAAATACAAACTCTCCTTGTTGTAAGTTAAAAAATTTTATGCAATTTCCAAAATTACATAAAACTCATTAAGTTCAGGTTTATTACAAACTCTTTACACACTTACTAAATCTGTTTCTATTGTACTCGACAACATTCTAGATATTTTATTTGAAAAATAAAATTACTGTTATCAAAGGATTTTGATAATTAAAAACAATATTCCAGTTTTGAATTGTTTAACTAACTTAAAATTTTGAAAAACAACAAACTCTGTTCTTACTTATGATTTTACTACATTATATACTAAAAATAGATCTGAAAAATGTAATCAGGGTCTTTAATGATCTACTTGATAGATACAGAAATAATTCTTTCAAAATAGAAAATCGCAAAACATCAATGTAGAAAGATACTTAATTTTTGTATGTGTAATAGTTATATTACTTTTAATGAAGAAGTATATAAACAAACAGTTGGTATTCCTATGGTTGTAATTTCTCTTCAAACATGGCCAACTTGTATCTGAAATTTCTGAAATGGGTAATAAGCCATAATCTATATATTTATACTTTTCATTACATATGCAATTTAATCTGTATCAATAACTTGAATTTTGATTCAGACCTAATATATCCAAAAGAAGATATAGTAGTGATATTCATGCACATTGCTTAGATATGGGTATTAATTTTGTAGAAGGCTATTTTTGACAAAAGAAGGTAGTTTGATTTTCCCATTTTTGGTCTAATCATCCCTAACAGCATGGTTCTATCTGTATTGTTAAAAAGAATTATCTTCCAATTAAAAATATTTTTAACAATTTATAGTAATGCTAATTCTTTTATGTATAATGTTAAATTGTTCATAAATAAACTGAAAAATATTGGTTATAAAGACTGGTATGTGAGACAAAATTTTTATAATAAATATAAAACTATATTAAAAAATTAAACCCTCATTCATGGAAACTACCTTATAAAGAACTTAGATGGCATTAGTTATTCAAGGTTATTCTTGGTTTAAGTAATAACATATTTAGTATACTGGGGCAAAAAGACCAACTTCAGGTAGCTGGGCTTGTCTTGGCTCACCTGGTTTATACTTGAACAGATTTTCAAGATAAAGGAAGGAGGTTGAGGGCTTAAGAACTATTAAGGTAAAGGTTTTTAGTTCTAATTAACATTACTAATTATTAAATATAAAAATGAAGATTGGGAGTTTTGTAGAAATATAGAATGGTTTATTTCTACTATGAGAATATCTTATTGTCATGTTTTTACGTGTGGGCCGGTTTCTTTACAGTAGATGTCTGTGACTTGTTGGTGATAATGTTAACAATAAACAAACAGCACACAGTCCATTTGTTTTAAAATAATATATTAAAATAAGTCAAATGTACATACAAGTGTTCATTACACTGTTGGTTATCACAGTTGTATCCAGAGCTGTAAATAATTGTCTCTTTTTTTTGTCAAAGTCCACACAGGCTGGTTCAATTAATTTAGAACACAATTAACAAGACAAATTCTTCTTCTCTGCTCTGTTATTACAATACAATCTGTAATAATTTTACCTTAAAAGTTTCCACTATACGCTCTTTATGGCTAAACTCACAATCACTCAGTCTAGATCTATCTATCTAAATTTCTGATGTGTTTTTATAGGTCTAGAACATTGCAAATACCATTAGATGTTATGATGTAATAATATAACAATCACAAATTCACAACAATTGAACTACACAATGTATGATTCATAAACAGTTATGTAAACAAATTTGCGAAAACTATTGCTTCTAAAAATAACTAAATTTAACACTTGCATTAATCTTAAACTGTAACAATCATGTATATCTAACACTTATAATATTAAAAAAAGGGGGTGGATGTCGCGAGTTCTACATTGTAGACTTTTTAGGGTGGTTTAATTGTACTTTAAGGTTATATCAAATATTGAGGGTAACTGCTTTCCCACAACTGGCTGCAGACAGGGAAAGATGTTGCAGGTTGAAACACTCAATTCCCACCCTTAACTGATTCTCTTTAGTTGCTGGAGAATTTGACATTGGCATCAGGATCTTGTCTAATAGATGGAGTATCCCAAATGTGTTTGGGTGCTATGGCCACAGACATTAGCCATTGTGACTTAAGGATGACAACAAGAACTGGTAATGGAAGAATAACTCTGAATTTTGGTCTCATTATAATGTTCTTTTTGTTTTGCGTATGTATATATATATAAATGTAATTGTTTAATATTGTACATAAGGTTTTTATTTTTCAGTATCATTAAATTATCTAACTTATTGAACTGAAATGGCCAAATGATGTTGAAAAACCTACTTTTAAATAATTTGTTAAAAAATGAATATTTGAAATAAATATATAAGCAATATTTCTTGGGACAAAAAGTGTGTAATCTTTTATTCTCCCTTTACTGTATTTTAAGTTGATTTGATATATAATAAATGAGTTTCAGTAGTTCACACAGCATGTCACTATATGAAACTTTCTTAATGCAATAGAAAAATAACTTCTTTTGCTTTAGAAAATAAAGTCAAGTTACATGCAATTTTTTCTTCCTCAGATACTCTTTAAAATGGACACAGGTGGAAGAGGTATATTGGTTGAAAAGACCAAGATTCCTGTAAGCATGGGAAATCATGCTGAGAGTTTTACATTTGACAAGTTTCGATATATGTGTATTTTGTCTGGCTGTGATTATCTCCCATCCCTTCCAGGAATTGGATTAGCTAAGTCTTGCAAGTTTTTCAGCTTGACAACTAATCCAAACTTAGAAATGGTAAGTTGTAAAAAAAAGAAAAAAATGAAAATGGTGAGTTATAAGATACTTGAAAATGATAAACTGTAAAAACTTGAAAATGATAAACTGTAAAAACTTGAAACCCATAAGTTGGAAATATACTTGAATAGAACTTTTAGTTAATAGATATAGGTTTGATGTTGACTTTATTAAACATAACACTCGTTTTTTTTTTAAATATGTTGAATCATGTTAAGAGTGAGCACAACTAAAAGTAATATACTAAGTCAGTGCACAAAGATGATATAGGGGCCCTGGGCCACTGGAGGTAACATGTAGTCATATCTGATCACCAAAATGTTATGAGTGTGCATGACAAAACGTTATAGGTACTAGCTGATGTATCCTTTCAATGCACAGGGAAGACATGGGTGTGGGTCATATCAAAATGCTGACTTACTGTGAGTGTGCACAACAAAGTAATGTTTATGAAATTAAACTTTTACCTAGTCTTTAGTTTCGGATGTGCTTGCTCTCTTTTTTGCTCTACAAAGAGCTACTACCTTGCACCACAAGCCTTGGACAAAGCTCCCATCCCTACATGTATTAATCATAATTAAAGACTATAGCCCTCCACCAGTAGGAGGGAACACACACTTCATGCACAGTAATCCTCAGGAGCACTAGTATTTGAACAAAGGCTCATTTCTTTCCTTGACACTGTTTGTCTTCAGATGTGCTTTAGATTGTTTAGTTGTCTTGGGAATTGTGTGGCCTTTGTTCTTTAACTTTCAGTTAAACCTTACTGTTTCACTCTTCTTCTTTTTAATAGAACATTTTTTTTATGCTAATTTGATTTGCTACTACTCCACATAAAAAAATATTTCATAGATTGCTTTTCGCTATAAATCCATGTTTCTACTACCCCTCAAAGTCCTGCTGTTTCAATGGTGAATGTTACTACCATTGTGCACCAGGTGATTGGCTCTATTCTACCTTCATCTTGATTCCAAGTTTCTCAGCCACGTGTTTCGATTACTCTGTCTTTTGATAATTTTGACCAACTGTTCCCACTGCCTGCCTCTGCTTCTGGTTCTTTTCTCCCTGATGAGAATAGGTAACCCCCACCTTCATCCTTTGCTGCTTTGATTACTCAGATATGTGATTTTTTTTCCTAGTTATTTTGATGAGTCTCGGTACTCATTGCTGCCTGAGCCTCCTCCTCCTGACTATTTTCTCATTCTCTCCCTTCCCTGATATTTGTAGTCATACTGATACTTTTTTTTTGTCTTGGTTTACACAGCAGTCTCGTTCTTCTTAACTTTGTGGCATTTTTGTTTCTATGGCCTATGATCAAGAGTTGTCTACTTTTTTAGGGTTTCAGTCCTATGAATTTCTCTTTCCCATTTCAGGTTCACCCTTCTCATACTCTATCTCTGACTTCTTCTCAATGTGCTTGTAATCATCTTCCTCTTACTCAGCTCCTTTCCTCTACATTGTGTTCCTAACAGTTCTACTGAGGACATTCGTTCCTACTTGTTCACATTTTGGCTCAATCTCTTCTTCTGCAGTATTCCAATTGTCTGGGTTTGTTTATTTCTGGGAGTTGCTTGGTTGGGATGTCTTACTTTTGGATATTCACCTCCCTCAGTCTTATCTCAGGGACTTTCATCTATCACCCTTTCTTTGAGACAGAACCTTTGGAGGTATTCCTTAAGTTAATTTGATTTATTGAATTTTTCAATCCTGGGTTCCCAACAAGTTTCTCATATTTTGCAGTCTTGCCCTTGTTAAGCCTTTGTTCACTTCCCATGGAGGACATTGTCAGAAGACTATATAGTCTATGATGATTATATCATAGCAGAGCTTGAAATTAGTGGGGGCCACGTGTCTTCAAATGGCTTAAATAACTTTTTCTGTATTAATACATAAAAATGTAATTTAAATTTTGAATATAGAATATGAAGGGGAGCAGTCCTTCTGAGGGTGGAGATCTATAGATCCAATTAAAATAAGTTTGCTGTGGTGGAAATGGGAGTACCTCAAGAAAACCCACTTTCACTAATCAGGTGTTGAATATCCTACCTGAATTGTAAAGGGTTAACTGGAGATTATGAAGCTTTTTCCTACTTTTATTTATTTTACTAAAAAGGCTATAGCTTGGGATTTGGTTAGGTTGCATCAATCTGACACTGCATTGAGTGATATTTGGACCCTAAATGTTGCATACTGAGATGCATGTGTATGGTTCAAGGAAGGGAACAGGATATCATTGACAAAGAGGTTGTATAATGTTGGACTTAACACTGACTCTTGGGGGACACTGGCTTCGAACGTGAAGGGCCTGGAGGTTGCATTGTTGATCGTAACTTTAGCTGTTCTGTTGGTAAGAAAGCTGAATGTTCAGCGTACCGGTGGTGTGGGTACATGGTTATCAATTAGTTTATAGCAAAGTTTGTTGTGCCATACCGAATCATAGCCCCTTTTGGACATATAGAAAGGTAGCTATGTTTGTATGCTTTCTGTTGAAACTGTGGTAGATGGTTTCGATAAGTTTAGCAAGGTGCTCAATGGTTTGTCTATGTTTTCTACCTGAATTCTGTATGTTGTTAGTAATATTGTTGGTTTCTAGGTAAGCATTTAACCAGTTCATAATTATTTTCTCCAATAAAAATAATAACTTAATAAAATAAGAAAAATAATAACACCTTAATAATAGCTGATTTCCAAAAAGATGAGTAGTATCTTGATACTAATGATAAATTATCTATCGCTACTAAGTGGGTTATGGTTTTATTCGATAGGATTTTTAAGATTCAATTGTTAATTCTATCCTCTCCTGGAGCTTTGAATTTTATTTTCCTAAGTTAATTTTGATTTCTATTAAAGTTATAGAGTTGACACAAATTATCAGAACCAGAAATCTGTGATATAGAAACTGGGAATTTCAGTGAAAAAAAGTGTTGATTATTAGAAATGTGTTGATTTACATTGTTCAAATGATGTGTTTCAAATGAGGTGAGATTTGGGGTTATAAAGGTACTTTCAACTTATTGGGCAAAAAGTTCAGACTATTTGTTATCGGTAGTGGTATTGACTTTTATTTTTGGTGTTTTTTTATTTGTTTTTCGTGATAGATTTTGAATTTGCCAAAATTTGGAAGGGTCGGGTTTGTATTTATTTATTTCTAGGCAGATGTTTTCCCAGTTATTATGTTATTATTGTAATATAAGTTTCTTAATAAGATTATATTCATGGCATTAATGAGTGGTTTAAATGTAATGTCACAGGTTTGTATGAAGTCGTGTCTTAGTCGTCTATGGCTAATTCTTAATTTTGAGACTAAGTTTCCAGGATTATAGGTCAGGATTTGTTACTTTGCTAGGGATTGTTTCTTTTATGGCTTGGGTTATGGTATTGGTTACATCAGAAGTGTAATTATTGATTTTGGTTTGATTGTTCATGGCTGTCATGTGCCTTGTTTAAAGGCTGAGTGGTTCAGGACTCCTTGGCTTGTGAAATTGACACATAATGTTGGCATTCTCTGCACTGAGCACCTAGGAAACATAGTAAATAGTGTTACGACAGCGGAAATCACACGACGCTGGGAGCATGTGCGCTGGAGTTTCTAGAAGGATCGGGCAACCTCACGAATGTCCAAGCATTTGCTAGACGCCCTCTTTTTAGTATATAAGCCAGAGATAGATTGAAGAGAGATTAATTGATAATGGAGTCAAGCGAGTAGTAGGCTCTGTAAGTAAAGTGTGTGAATCGCTGTGAATTATAACGTGTGTTTATAAAAATAGTTAAGTTTAACGTGACTGTGAAAATTAAGTGTATTACAAAGTTTGTAACGAGAAAGAATAAACTAATATCGCTGAAGTTTCTCGGAAAGAATTTCTACGGGAAATTAACAAACGAACAGAGACGTAACAATAGTAATTATGAATGAAAGAGGAAATACACCTGCGGAAAGAAATGCAACTGCCCTATGGATGATGAGCTAGAATGCATTAAAAGTGCTTTATGCAGAATAGAGGTTCCATGCATAAAACTTGGAGGCTAGTCTCACCTGGTATGGCCTTGCAATAATTGGATTAGTATGTTTGTCAGTCGTTTTGTGTGTAAATATTTAACATTTTCATTACATAAGCAATTATTAAAAACATAAGTTGCACAATGGAAAAAAAAATGGCTGAAGAATACAAAGATTAGATCTATTATTTCCAATTAGAGTATTGGTCTTTTTGTGATGAAAAATTCTAGTGCTTCTCAGGCATTTTTGGTCTTTTCTGATACAAATATTTATTTATTTTTTAGGTACTAAGAGATGTTTTCATTAAAAAAAATAATGGAATTTCCATATATTTTGGGCTATAGCCCAATTTGGGTTACATTAAATGCTTGCCCGACAAATAGGGCTAGGTACCCAGCTACGATTGGCCAATCATGAGGTGGTATTCTGAAAACTAATTTGCGGTCTATTAGCCAAGGGCGTATTAATTGCTCTGGCAACATATTTTCAATTTGGTGTGAAACACGTGTGCAAAACAATTACAGGCTGATCATGCTAATAGACCACTAATAGCATTTTCAGATTCACATTTTCTTCATTGCTAATAGTCCACTAATAGTTTTCAGATTCAATTCTCTTCTTGACATACTTTATAGAATATTATGCCACCATCTTCATCATAGTGTAACCAGTTATTATCCATCTCCCATTCGCCCTTGTAACGACTTTTCCACCTTTTCCTTTTTATACTCACAGTCCTGTTGCCTTTTTTTCTGTTACTTTCTTTTTTCGGATCGTCAACATTTGGTTCTCTTCATTTCAAAACATTTTGGGCGAATTGTGTGTGATTTGGGTGATTTTTATACTGTGTTCTCTGTCACTTTGACTGAATATCTTTTGGCAACACTGGTCTGTCATGAGTAGACTCTTATTCATAAGTACAAAGTTCTTTTGCCACAATAATGTAGAGATATCTACAAAATGTAGATGAT